CTTTTCAACTCATGCACATTACTGCTGTATTTCAGTGTGGCTCACGTTCAGGTTGTTGGACGCCCATTATCTCCAGCATTTGGAGTTGAAATCCTCGAGCCCTCAGAAAATTTTGTGTTGAAGGCTTTGAGTTACACACAACCACAGCCTCTACCTCAGGGAACCAGTCAAGAAGCAGAGAGATTGTGTAGACGAGTACTAAGCTTTCAACAGATTTTGAATATACTGCAGGGTAATGTAGTTGACCTTGTGGAACATGAATGGGAGGATGAAGATGGTGATGAGGAATCAGATGAAGAGCTCTTGTAATCCCTCTTATAAACTAAACTTGCCTTGAAGAGCTTGTGTAATAATGGCATACAAAATAAACTTGCCTTTATAGCTTGTGTAGTACTGTTATATAAAATAATCTTGCCTCATTATCCTTCTCATCTGGTATTCTAGAGATTAATGTTCAGGTCTGGCAGGAGTATGTAGAGCTTTTTTTAATTTTTTGTTAAACTTGTCTTTCGCTTTAATGCTAGCATTACTTAAATATTTATGCAGTACTCCATCAAACATGAACCACTATTTGAGCATTCTTGTAGGCAGTTATGTGGCAGGAGGTACTTCTCTCTTTTCCTGCATATGACTTTGGGCTTTAGAGGAGACTTACTTGAAGCTTCATTGTTCATACCATTAATAATTTTGATCTTGGGGTGCTGTAACAGAACCGGTTGTAAGGAAAATGATTACAATCATACAAAAGCTTCAGTGCTTCACCCGTTTGCCATGCAACATTACCTGCTAAAAATTGTCTAAAATTTATAAACTAACAAATGACAGCAGCGTGATGTATTATTACTCCAAGAGGGAATTTCATCATCACTCCAGAAGTTGGATAATTTTGCGAACTTTACGTCGGTTTGCACTTCAATACATTAAGTTCAAGTAGATTATTTAACTGGCAATGAAGCAAAACATAAAAGTGTTCATGGCGTCTTGGACTTCGGTCGAGAAGGAAGCAACTGCAAACACACAGCAGAATCTCGTCAACAGATCAGCATTCAAAATCAGAATGCCCACAAAATAAAATCCGAAAGGTGTCTATGGACTCTCATCAAGAAAAATAGGATGAGTATAAATATAAGAATAATACTTGGGATCTAGAACTAGGACATGTCATCCCATGCTTGATCACCTCATTTAATGCAAGGGGGTTAACACTTCATTGTGATTAAATGAACTTAAAACCCATCTTTTTCATCTTTGGACAAATTAAAAGAAATAAACAGCTTGCTTCATAATCAATTTCTATCACACCTCCCCCTAATATAACACTAATCCAACATATATGTGTTGTTTTACTGCCAACAACCAATCAACCAGTTCAAAAGATAAATTTTATGCCAGTATATACATATTAAAGGCATAGAACTGGATACCTGGTAACAAGAGATGAGGGAAGAAGCAAATCCAAAGGCCCCTGTTATACGAGGATTAAATTTCTTGGGTGCCAGGTGAAGAAGCCCTAATGCTACGACTGTATCCATGCCTGCTTTAATCAGTGCTAGAGACCTCTCATTTGACTCCTGGAGTTTAGCACGGTATTGCTCATTCTTTATCACCATTCTTTGTCACCTTCTCCAGCTTCTTCATTGATGCAGAAGCCTTCCATGTTCTATAGGCTCGTACCTCTGTATCCTTGAGTTCAAAGGAGACAGGATCCAAAAATAAAAATTATTAAATGTGGGAGTCTTCAATATTAGGGTCTCCTCCTCGTCAATTAGTCTAAATTATGCAATCAAGTACAGAAGAAGTTACACAATAAATACTTTTTTATTTAAATTAAGACTTTGTTTGATTTAATTGTTTTTTATGAAGATTTTATTTGAGTAGATTTTCACAAGTAGCACTCAGTATGGTAGGAGTATTAACTAAACACA